GGGACTATATCAAGCTGAAAAGCTTCTGTACAGCAAAGGACACCATCAATAGAACAAAAAGGTATCCTACAGTATGGGAGAATATATTCATAAATGACAGATCCGATAAAGGGTTGACATCCAAAATATATAAAGAGCTCACACACCTCAACAAACAAAAAGCAAATAATCCAATTAAAAAATGGGCAGAGGAGCTGAACAGACAGTTCTCCAAAGAAGAAATTCAGATGGCCAACAGACACATGAAAAGATGCTCCACATCCCTAGTCATCAGAGAAATGCAAATTAAAACCACAATGAGATATCACCTCACACCAGGGAGGATGGCTACCATCCAAAAGACAAAGAACGACAATTGTTGGCGAGGTTGTGGAGAAAGGGGAACCCTCCTACACTGCTGGTGGGAATGTAAATTAGTTCAGCCATTGTAGAAAGTAGAAAGGAGGTTCCTCTAAAAGCTCAAAATAGACATACCATTTGACCCAGGAATTCCAATTCTAGGAATTTATCCTAAGAATGCAGCAGCCAAATTTGAAAAAGACAGATGCACCCCTATGTTTATCACAGCACTATTTACAATAGCCAAGAAATGGAAGCAACCTAAGTGTCCATCAGTAGATGAATGGATAAAGAAGATGTGGTACATATACACAATGGAATATTATTCAGCCATAAGAAGAAAACAAATCCTACCATTTCCAACAACATGGATGGAGCTAGAGGGTATTATGCTCAGTGAAATAAGCCAAGTGGTGAAAGACAAATACCAAATGATTTCACTCATATGTGGAGTATAAGAACAAAGAAAAACTGAAGGAACAAAACAGCAGCACAATCACAGAACCCAAGAATGTACTAACAGTTGCCAAAGTGAAAGTGACTTGGGAGAATGGGAGGGAAGGGAGGGATAAGGGTGCAGGAGAAGAAAGGGCAAAGTTTGATTAGCATGTATGATGTTGGTAGGTAATGGGGAGGGCTGTGCAACACAGAAAAGACAAGTAGTGATTCTACAGCATCTTACTATGCTGATGGACAGTGACTGTAATGGGGTTTGTGGGGGTTACTTGGTGAAGGGGGGACCCTAGTAAACATAATGTTCTTCATGTAATTGTAGATTAATGATAACAAAAAAAAGGAGCCTCAATAAATTCAGAAAGATAGAAATCCTACCAACCAACTTTTCAGACCACAAAGGTATGAAACTCGAAATAAATAGTACAAAGAAAGCAAAAAGGCTCACAAACACATGGAGGCTTAACAACATGCTCCTAAATAATCAATGGATTAATGACCAAATTAAAACAGAGATCAAGCAATATATGGAAACAAATGACAACCAGAACACAAAGCCCCAACTTCTGTGGGACGCAGCAAAAGCAGTCTTAAAAGGAAAGTATATAGCAATCCAGGCATTAATAAAGAAGGCTTAAATAAAGAAGGAAGAACAAACCCAAATGAACAGTCTCACATCACAATTATCGAAATTGGAAAAAGAACAAATGAGGCCTAAAGTCAGCAGAAGGAGGGACATAATAAAGATCAGAGAAGAAATAAGTATAATTGAGAAGAATAAAACAATAGAAAAAAATCAATGAAACCAAGAGCTGGTTTTTTGAGAAAATAAACAAAATAGATAAGTCTCTAAGACTTATTAAGAGAAAAAGGGAATCAACACACATCAAGAGAATCAGAAATGAGAAAGGAAAACTTGTGACAGACCCCACAGAAATAAAAGAATTATTAGAGACTACTATGAAAACCTATATGCTAACAAGCTGGAAAACCTAGAAGAAATGGACAACTTCTTAGAAAAATACAACCTTCCAAGACTCACCAAGGAAGAAACAGAAAATCTAAACAAACCAATTACCAGCAACAAAATTGAAGTGGTAATCAAAAAACTACCCAGGAACAAAACCCCCAGGCCAGGTGGATTTACCTCAGAATTTTATCAGACATACAGAGAAGACATAATATCCATTCTCCTTAAAGTTTTCCAAAAAATAGAAAAGGAGGGAATACTACCAAACTCATTCTATGAAGCCAACATCACCCCAATACGAAAATCAGGCAAAGACCCCACCAAAAAAGAAAACTACAGACCAATATCCCTGATGAACATAGATGCAAAAATACTCAACAAAATATTAGCAAACCGAATTCAAAAATACATCAAAAGGATCATACACCACGACCAAGTGGGATTCATCCCAGGGATGCAAGGATGGTACAACATTCGAAAATCCATCAACATCATCCACCACATCAACAAAAAGAAGGACAAAAACCACATGATCATCTCCATAGATGCTGAAAAAGCATTCAACAAAATTCAACATCCATTCATGATAAAAACTCTCAGCAAAATGGGCATAGAGGGCAAGTAGCTCAACATAATAAAGACCATATATGATAAACCCAGAGCTAACATCATACTGAACAGCGAGAAGCTGAAAGTTTTTCCTCTGAGATCAAGAACAAGACAGGGACGCCCCCTCTCCCCACTATTATTTAACATAGCACTGGACGTCCTAGCCACGGCAATTAGACAAAACAAAGAAATACAAGGAATCCAGATTTGTAAAGAAGAAGGCAAACTCACTATTTGCAGATGACATGATATTGTACATAATATCCACTAAAGACTCCACTTCAATACTACTAGAACTGATATCAGAATACAGCAAAGTTCCAGGATACAAAATTAACACACAGAAATCTGTGGCTTTCCTTTACACTAACAATGAACAAATAGATGGAGAAATCAGGAAAACAATCCCATTCACAACTGCATCAAAAAGAATAAAATACCTAGGAATAGACCTAACCCAAGAAGTGAAAGACCTATACCCTGAAAACTATAAGACATTCTTAAGAGAAATTAAAGAGGACACTAACAAATGGAAACTTATCACATGCTCTTGGCTAGGAAGAATTAATATCATCAAAAAGGCCATCCTGCCCAGAGCAATATACAGATTTGATGCAATCCCTATCAAATTACCAACTTCAATGAACTGTAACAAATAGTTAAAAAATTCATATGGAAACACCAAAGACCCCGAATAGCCAAAGCAATCCTGAGAAGGAAACACCAAAGACCCTGAATAGCCAAAGCAATCCTGAGAAGGAAGAATAAAGTAGGGGGGATCTCACTCCCCAACTTCAAGCTTTACTACAAAGCCACAGTAATCAAGACAATTTGGTACTGGCACAAGAATAGAGCTACAGACCAGTGGAACAGAATAGAGAGACTCCAGACATTAACCCAAACATATATGATCAATTAATATAAAATAAAGGAGTGATGGACATACAATGGGGAAATGACAGTCTCTTCAACAGATGGTGCTAGCAAAACTGGACAGCTACATGTAAGAAAATGAAACTGGATCACTGTCTAACCCCATACACAAAAGTAAATTCGAAATGGATCAAAGACCTGAATATAAGTCATGAAACCGTAAAACTCTTAGAAAAAAACTGAGGCGAAAATCTCTTGGACATAAACTTGAGTAACTTGTTCATAAACATATCTCCTTGGGCAAGGAAAACAAAAGCAAAAATGAACAAGTGGGACTACATCAAGATGAAAAGCTTCTGTACAGCAAAAGACACCATCAATAGAACAAAAAGGTATCCTACAGTATGGGAGAATACATTCATAAATGACAGATCCAATAAAGGGCTGACATCCTAAATATATAAAGAGCTCATGCACCTCAACAAACAAAAAGCAAATAATCCAATTAAAAATGGGCAGATGTGAACAGACACTTCTCCAAAGAAGAAATTCAGATGGCGAACAGACACATGAAAAGATGCTCCACATTGCTAGTCATCAGAGAAATGCAAATTAAAACCACAATGAGATATCACCTCACACCAGTTAGGATGGCCAGCATCCAAAAGACAAAGAACAAATGTTGGTGAGGATGTGGAGAAAGGGGAACCCTCCTACACTGCTGTTGTGAATGTAAGTTAGCTCAACCATTGTGGAAAGTAGTATGTAGGTTCCTAAGAAAACTCAAAATAGAAATAGCATTTGACCCAGGAATTCCACTCCTAGAAATTTACCCTAAGAATGCAGTTGCGCAGTTTGAAAAGGACATATACACCCCTATGTTTATCACAGCACTATTTATAATAGCCAAGAAATGGAAGCAACCCAAGTGTCCATCAGTAGATGAATGGATAAAGAAGATGTGGTACATATACACAATGGAATATTATTCAGCCATAAGATGAAAACAAATCCTACCATTTGCAACAACATGGATGGAGCTAATGGGTATTATGCTCAGTGAAATAAGCCAGGCAGAGAGAGACAAGTACCAAATGTAGCATGTTTCTTTTTGAGAGATTAGTGGGCGGCACATTTGGATCACATTTATTACAGTTATAAAAGTAAAGATTTGATTTCGGTCAAAAATAAAAAAGCAAAAACTATAATATATATGCTAATGTGTGATCTCTATGGAAAACACATACTTCTATCCTCTCATGCCCCCTACATCATAAATCCACTAGTAAGAAATGAAAGCTTAAAATTTTAGAATATGCATCTTGGTGTTTTTCTGTGTATTTACATAATAATTATACATACACCTTATATTGTGAATTTTCTTTTTTGCAAGTGTCATATTGATCTTATTTTTAGCTTAATCCTCTTTAACACAATACATTATACTATCATATTTCCTGAGATCATGCCCACAAAGAGTTTCATGGGAAAGTTAAAAGGGTGGCTTTAGAACTCCCATATTGGTTTGTGGTCATTGTTTCCTTCCATTTTCTGGTCCAACTGTGAAGCAACTCCTGAGGCACTAGAGGGACAGGAAGTTTAGGGGTGGGAATGTGACACTTAATTAGTGACATCTGTCTTCTGGCCTGAGAATGTCAAAGCATGTCTATTTCTGCAAGGATCCCAAATGCTGAGATCTATTGGTAATGGCGTGTTAAGATACAATAACAATGCATTCAATTTGTGCTTTTCCCAGGTCCTCTCCTGGAAACTTGTACCTGACAGTTATCCGCCAGGTGATCAGCCACCTCCACCCTCTTACATTTATGGGGCCCAACACTTGTTGCGATTATTTGGTACGAAATCCTGGTTCCTGCTGCCTTCTTTATTTTTCCCCCCTACTTTGTTTTCAGCATCTTGTTAGCTTATGTACATCTTGTGGCAATTTTGACATCTAAGAGAAATAATTGAACGGTGACCTCTTAACCAAAAGAAAAACAAAGAAGCAAAGACTGAATGGATCAAATTTCATAAAAATTGTGTTTTTAATATTTGTACTACTACTCTATCTTTATGTTCACTAAGTGTTTCTGGTTTTGTTTGATAATGTAGATGTTAATTTCAGTTCAAAGAAGGATAAGCAGGGACCCAGATGATCCCTGAGTTTTATCCTACTCATTGTAGATTCTGCTGGCTGTAAATGGTCTTGCTTTTATTTTTAATGCAGTGAAACTTCCAGAAATCCTTGGAAAGATGTCCTTTTCTGAGAAGAATCTAAAGGCTTTACTGAAGCACTTTGATCTGTTTCTGAGGTATTTTTATTACTTGGTGAAAACTTACTTCTGTAGCCTCACATATGACTTTACTGAACTTCTCTTGAGCAGATGTGGAAGCTAGCTAGCTGTGTGGTATTTTAAATAGTAGCAGTGTTACCTAAGTATGCTTAGTTCTAATTGTAATGTAATAGAGGGGTTTGGGGCTCTTGTTTCCATAATTTAGCTTTAAATTATGGTCTCTGAGTCAAGTATTCATTGTGCAGAGGTAAAATGTTTTGTGTCACTAGAAGAATCCACTTGGATAACCATGTGAGTAGAAAATTAATTTTCAGAAGCGGTTGATTGAGATTGATCATTTCGTTTTACATTTTTTATTCCGATGTACCCTAAGTATTAGACTTTTTCTGTTACATGTACAGAAACGAAAATATTAACATTTACAGGTTGAATTTTGGTGTTTACTTTAGAGTTCAGATAAATGACTAATAGTCTATGCTGACAGTTTGTGAATTCAGAGTAAGTTATTGTTTCCTTCACCTGACAGTGCCAGTCATTTTGTATCATAGGATCATTTGCCCCAAGGCTCTGCCCCTCCTCCCCTCCTTCACCACGCCTCGCCTTGTGGCAGGCCCCAGCCTCATCTATGCCTGTGGTCCAGCTCTCGCCGTCTGTCCCACCCAGCTGTCTATTGACCAGTTCTCCTTGGTATTGAAGGCTGGTTGTCACCCTGTGGTACCCAGTACTTCCTGTCTAGCTACCTGAGCTTGTTTCTTCCTTCTCCTTAAGGGGAGTACCTTTCCTTGTAGTCAGACCCCAACCTGCCCGAGCTAGTCAATTCGGATTTACCACAGAGTGGAGAGGATTCCAGCCAGAGAAATTGGTCTTGGGATTTTTAAAAGATACTTTCATGTAGGCATTTTAAATCAAGTGTCTGTGAGTAGAATTAGACTTTATAACATCTTATTTAGAAACAAGCTTCAAAAATATTCTCTTCCAGCCTCCCCCTCAAACAAACACTCTTATTTGGCATAAAAATTTTACAAGCCAAAATCAAATAATGCCAATAAAATATGAAGAGCTAGCTGCAAGTTAGCATAGTCAATTCTGCTCATTTTGAGTTATGCCCAGTTAAAATAGAAATTAGGATTTATGGAAATAACTTAGATTTATAAATACAGTAATTGGTTTTGAAAATGTATCCAAAGATGTCAACTAGAGAATCGGTGGACTCAATAATTGCTGTAAAAAGGATGCACAGAAGAAAACGTTAGCTCTTGAATGAATTTAGACTCAATTTTTAACCGAAGAAGGTGTTACAGAGGTTTATCCTTAAATTTATAGGTATTTAGACAGGCGAGAGGAGGCCAGGAAAATAGACACGAAGCTAATCAGCTCATTACTTAATACGGCCCATGTGAGAATGCTTTAGCCCTCCATGATGAAATCTTTGATGCTTCAAGGTCAAGGTAGCATATGTGTATGACAGACTCTTGAATGAGTAGCCACATTTTAATATCCATGATCAGATATAAGTCAGTCTTCTTGTTGGTGAGTTTTGGTACTACAAACTGGAACCATAACACCTTTTTGTATGGCAAATTCAGACCCAAAATGCTCTTTACTGGTTATATCATTCAATTTTGTTGTAACTTTGCCTATTATAAGCATTGGGAATCTCTCAAGTAATATTTGTTGAGTATAATTTATTTTTTATGGTTTGTTTTTAAAGCAGGAAAATGTGGATAGTCACTGAGGCCTTTTTTCCATAGAAGTGTTTTTATAATCAAGACAGCCGCCTAGCAGAACTTAGATTCTCTTTCTATCTGTACACTTCTTAGTGAAAGGATTCCAATGAAATAGCAATTCATGTAGAAGCCAAATATGTGTAATGAAAGTAATCAGTACTTAGAAATCAAGATTCTATTCAATTTTTTTCTTCCTAATACCAAAAAAGAGGGAAATGTTAAAGTAGTTGGAAGTTAAGACTTTGCTGGCTGGTATGTAGTCCTTACTGTGATGATCATTGACACCATTTTTTTCTTCCTCCAGGTTTTTAGCAGAATACCACGATGACTTCTTCCCAGAGTCTGCCTATGTCGCTGCCTGTGAGGCACACTACAGCACCAAGAACCCAAGGGCAACGTATTAAAGGTTTAAAATTTAAAGATTTTAAACCTTATTAAACTTACTATAGTTTGTTCTGGAAGAAGAGCTTCTCCGGCTACCTTTGAGTTCTAGGTTCCCAGTGAAGAATTAGAATATGGCTGGTCTTCTTTACAGATACCACCCACTCTTGGGGTGTTCTGGCAGAGTGGGTCTATTTCTTACGTTGCTCACATATTGTACTTATTTCTGTTAAGGATTACTTCTTAGGTGCCTGAACAGCCTCCAACATCTGACCCTTGCCACTGTTCACATCATCTGTAATAGTGGGAAGAGAGAAGCTGTGTTCACATTGAAATACTCATGAAAATGTGTGGTTAGGCTGTTTTTGGTTGATGCTAGTGTTATTTGTTAGCAATGACCACATTTCCTAGTTCCTTGTTAGCAGTAAGCAAAATTGTTTTTCAAATTTATTTTATTCTTGCAATGAATCCTGCCCAGTGAATTTTAGTTTTGTTTAGAAACCACAAAATAGTGCTAAAATCTTTTGGACTTTGATGTTGATATTGATGGCACAATTAATTGTGCAGCTATACATCTGCTTGTTAGGGTTCCTTTTTTGTAAAACCTTATTTTTGGTGATCTAACTAAAGCGTTGCTGATGTTGTTGGAAATTTTACAGCTATAGTTTGTTGTGTAATGTTATGGTTCCCTTTCTGTAAAACCTTACTTTTGGTAATCGAAATAAAGCATTGCCTGTCTTATTGGACAGAACCAGGAGAGTTTTCCCTCCGGCCTTGGACTCTTCTCTTTATATATTGCAGAGGAACAGTAAGGTAACTTCTTGACTCATAACTTTTTGTTTGTTTTCCCTTTGTGCCTTTTTGTGAAGGCCTTTTGTTTTCCTTTCCTTCTTTGATTTTTGTCTCACTTGGTGGCTTGCCTACAAGGTGGTTACTGGAAGTTGGTATGGCTCTTCATTGTCTTCTTGCCATTCTCTGGGCTGGTCTGGGGCAGTGAATTTATCGTCCTCTATCATTACTAGCTGATGGTCTCAGAAGTCACCCTTCTAATCTTCTTCTTGGTCTCTCACATACCTCCTCACTCCTCTGTTCCCCGGGATGTTTTAGAAAGTTGTAACTCAATTGAAATGATACCAGTATCAGATAAACCTTGAATAGAGCGCTACCTTTTCTTACAGCTCAGCTCAGTTGATTTTAACTTCCAAAGATCACTGGTTATGAACAACAAGGGCCACAGGGAGTTTTTTTTTTTAATGTGTGTATGGTTCCAGCAAAGAGATTTCACCATACATTGACCAGTAAGACTCAGAACCTCTAAATCACAGGAGACCTCTTAGTACACTTGTTAAGTACAATGGTTTTTTAGTGTCTAATTAGGAGCAGCATTTGGATTTTTGCTAGGTGTCATCTCCATTTGGTTCATGCAATGCCTGTTTCAACCTGGTTCACCTGCAGTGTGCTCTGAATTATTTAAAAAATGAATAGTAATTATTCATGGCCTGGAAAAGAAAACAAATATTTGCCCTTACAAGAGTCTGCTTGTTGAATGTCCCCAGTGAAATGAACATGCACTGTCTCTTGGAACATTTATATAGTTATACACCTTGAGTTTACAATTAATTCATTTTCTAATAATGAAAAATTATTTTCTTACCCCAAAGGCATTTCTTAATTACAACTTCCCTTAAGCTGATGATTTGCAGCTTAGGTTGATTTAAATGTTTAAAATATGTTCCTTTATTGTATAATGCTAATAATTTTTCAGATAATTGATAAGTTAAATCTGTGATTTAAATGTCTAAACCATCTTAATAAAATTACATTCTCTGATACAGATTAAACATGGTGGCGTGAGAGAAGAGACAGAAGCTTCCTCCTAAAACTGGATACAATTAGAAAATATAGTTGGTGCAACTAATCCTGAGAGAGCAACAGGAAAGAGGATGGTGCCAGACTGCATACACCTGGAGAAAAGAGCAGACCTCATGGAACGGGGTAACGTACCAGCGCAACTGCTCCGCGGGACCCAAGTCCTTCCCCCACCCCAGCTCACCGGTGGGAGGAAGAGAAACTGAGCAGGGAGGGAGTGGAAGGCTTAGGACTGCTGAATACCTAGCTCCAGAGATCTGCGCTGGAAGCACAAACCTACATTTCATGATGCTTTCATCATATTCTTCTGATTACGGGGTTGGAAAGCTGGGATAGGCAGAATTCCTGGGGAGATTGGGATCCCGGCCACTTGTGGAAAGCAGGGATCCATATCCGGCTGCCCTGGGACAACAGCTTATACCTGTGTGCTCAGCCCACTAGTTCAGGCAGTGCAGACAGGCACAGCAGCCGGGAAGCGGGGAACAGCTCTTTCCTCCCCCTAGGCACCAATACCATTCCCCTGTGACCCCCAACATTGCTTCAGGGGCTGAGCAGCTCCAGAATAGAGTTTCTGGACACTAGAGGGCGCCATATACAAATATGAAACGCCAAAGAAACCTGGTCCAGAGTAAAATTATTAATACAACTCCCAAGAAAGATTTAAATGATATGGACCTTTTGACTCTTCCTGAAAGGCAGTTCAAAATAAGAATCATCAACATGCTAATGGAGGTATGGAAAGACATCCAAGAACTCAGGAATGAATTCAGGTAGGAGATCCAATCGTTGAAGAGCATGATGGAGGGTACTAAAAGCCGGTTGGATAAGATGGAGGAGAGGATAAGTGAAATAGAAACTAGAGAAGAGGAATACAAAAAAGCTGAGGCACAGAGAGAAAAAAGGATCTCTAAGAAAGAAAGAATATTGATAGAACTGTGTGACCAATCCAAACGGAACAATATTCGCAGTATAGGGATACCAGAAGAAGAAGAGAAAGAGAAAGGGATAGAAAGTGTCTTTGAGGAGGTAGTTGCTGAAAACTTCCCCAATCTGGGGAAGGAGATAGTCTCTCAGGCCATGGAGATCCACAGATCTCCCAACACAAGGGACCCAAAGAAGACAACACCAAGACACATAGTAATTAAAATGGAAAAGATCAAGGATAAGGACAGACTGTTAAAAGCAGCCAGAGACAGAAATAAGATCACATACAAAGGAAAG